AACTTACCCCTCACAGGAACTCGTCGAACGCACTCTTCGTCAGCCACGGATATGGCTTGATGGAGACCCTCCAGGGCCCGGTCGATGTCCTCCACTGTGTCGAGCGGTGGGTTGTCGTCGATGTGGCGGTCGACCACGCGTCGAAACTGGACCCAGTTGACTCGATGGTAGTCCTTCCGCTGGCACGGTGCAGGGGCCACGTTGTAGCCCAGCTCGGTCAGCACCGGTTGGTGGTCCGAACTCAGGTCGTTGACGGCAACCGGCTTGGCTAATCTGGTGTTTGCCAAGAACAGGTCCAGCGTCGATGGGTTGCCCGTCGGTGATGTGAAGGTTGGTTCGTCCGGAAACCAGACGGAATAGAGACCATGCTGGGAATGGTCGAATAGCAGGCGGCCGTTCTGGTTCTGCTGGTAGTTCCGCCAGGCCTCGTGCCGGGCGTTCAGGTCCCCTCCGATTACGAAGCGGGCATTGGTGCGGGTTATGATGGCAAGGTCGTTCTTGAACTGCTGTGCTGTACCATTGCTAACGGTACATTGCCGGGGACAGTAGGCGGCGATGAACCGGATGATTCCGGTCGATGTTTCCACCTCTACGCCGACGGCCTCGATGATGGAAGTGCGGTAGTGGGGTAGGGTGCAGTACTTGATGCCTTTCTTGATGATGACCGCGACACCGCCCCCCCTGGAGCTGGTGCGATCAAGCCGGACAATGCTGTGGTCGGGCAGCCAGAAGCTGTCACCGGTCTTGAGGTGGGTCTCGGTGAGGAGGCCCACGTCGATGTCGTGCTTGCGGAGGAAGTCTGCAAGCTCAATGTTTTTCGCCCCTACGGAGCGAGCGTTCCAGTTGGCGATCTTTATGGGTTCACGGTCCATAATTAGCGACGAAGGAGATGATAGCTTGGAGCTGTTGTGTTCTTGTTGCGCAGGTGCGCTTGATGATGATGGCCTGGGCCAACAGTGTGACGATCTCATCCGTTGACAGCGGAGAATCGTCTGTAGCTTCACCGGTTGTACCGGCCAATCCCGGAGCAGGGGGATCCGTCGATGGGCCGGAGGCTTGACTAGGTACTGCAGCGGCAGCCGACTGGGCAGCAGCCAACTGTTGGTTGAGCGGGAGCGGCGCCAACACTGGAATTGGCCGTGGTTGGACCGGTGATAACGGAGGAAAGTTCTGCGCGTTGTTTTCCGGGACCTTCTTGCGACCGGGCTGGTTGTTGGACGAGGCCTTCTTCCGGATCTCGGCGTATTCGGCCCGCTTCGGACAGGCCTTACTCGTGGCCTTGTGGGCAGCACCGCAGTTGGCGCATGTGGGAGCGGCTTCCTCGATGCTGTCGCAGTCGTCGATCTTGTGGTTTTTGCCGCATTTGATGCAGCGGCTGGCCATGCGGCAGTTCCTGGTGCCGTGCCCGAACAATAGGCAGTTCGAGCACTGAGTGACGCCACGGTGGGTTGGCTTATACCGCTCCCACTTCACTACGATGTGGAACAGTGTGCGTGTCGTATGGAGATCCTTCACGGTTGTGGAGTTCTTCTGCAGATGGACCAAGTAGAGCTGGTCACGATACTTGATGGCCTTGCTGCGGGTCATCTTGTGGATTTCGACCGGCTTGAGGCCGTTCGCCTTAATCTCGTCCATTAAGGTGGTGGTGTCCATGTCGTGGAGCCCGCGCAGCACCACTTTCAGCGGCTTGGTGGCCTCGACGTCGTGGGAGAAGTACTCCAGCTTCATCCTGTCCAAGAGGGCCTGGACTGCGTTGTAGTGATTTTCGGCCGAGACCATCAGTTTGTAGCCTTCCGTGCACCGTTGAATGGTGCAGCGAAGGCCCTGCTTAATGTAGAAATCCAGCTGCTCCCATAGCCCGGGAGGGAAGCCCTTCACATAGAAGGGTGGCAACTTAACTTTTTTAGGCACCGTCTCAGGGTCCGACTGCGGCTGGGCTCCGTTCTGCAGGGCGGAGAACGGATTGTTGCTCAGCAGCTTTTTTGCTGCCGATGCGGTGGCGCTGATGTCTTCAGGTCTGGGTCGTTTAGTTCCGGGAGGCCCCGGCTGCGGGTCCGCAACGCCTGTCGGGACGGGCAATGGGGTTTTCTTCTGCTTCTTCTGAGCTGGCTCGGTGGTCGCGCCGTCTCCTGGGAGAGTCTGTTTTCCCGGTAAGCCGGCACTCGCGTTACCGCGCGATTTCTTACCCATGGCTGGGTCAGCGAGAGCGTCACTATACAACGCGGAGCTAATTCGACTTGCGAACGAACGAACGAAACGAGAGAGAATTCAAATCGACTGAACTGCTCAACAATCTGGCAGCGAATCATGATGTTGAGCAGAGGCAGGAAAGCAGCGCTGTTTTATATCATTTCAGGTTCAAGCAAAATGACGTGCAACCAAGTGTTATTCGTTTATGATGACTGGGTTTGGGGAAAACGTTTAGTTCATGAAAACAGTGATTATTTCAACAGATTCGTTAAGTAATATCCTATCGATTGGCGTATTTGGATTTTAATTTCATCTATAAATGACAAAGTTACAAGATTTCAAAACCTAACACTATTTCATAACACATATTTTTAGATTTGTACCCCAGTATAGTCGACAAAGACGTAGTTATACGTCAGAAATGTTGCTGAATGTTGCAGTGTTTGAAGGATGCGGTGAGCAGACAGTTTGATGCATTTTTTTTTTTTTTTTTTTTTTTTTTTTTTTTTTTTTTTTTTTTTTTTTTTTTTTTTTTTTTTTCCTAGCTCGGTTGCACTGTACTGCTCAAACATGGCGCGCGTATTGTTGTACGGCAGGTAGCTGCCGCGCACCCACCGCTGGGCCCATTTGAATGTCAGCGCCTTCGTTCCGGCACTGTCCATTCCGTCAAGGGCCATGATCAGCATGTGCTGCATCGGTGGCCACACGTTCGGGAAGTCCCACTGTTCGTTCGTATCGGCCAGCGTGTTTGGAACACCTCCCGGGTACTTGTCCAGCTCCATATATTCAATGTACGCCAGGACCTTCTTCGGTAGGCTAGTGTCATTATTATCATAACATCCCGTCCAGAGCGGCGACAGATTTGTCGGAACGAAGTAGTGCCGGTGTTTCTTGTTGATCAGATCGTAATCCAACCAGGCTCCCTCTTCCTCGTTCCATAATACTGCATCAACGGCTTTCTCGATTTCATCCGCTTTCGCTTCGTACATCTGTGCCTTCCGGATGTCGTTCTTGAGTGCATAGAACTTCGAGATTTTTTCGCATTCCAGTAAAGGATCGCATTTAACTCGACGGCAATGATCCATCGGCACTTCAGATCTGTTAGATTACCCTTGTTCGTACCGTCCTTTATAGGGTGTTTACACTTATGCTTATGAGCTAGCTGCTAGCAAAAAAGCTCATTCGCATAATGTAAACAGGGCATCAGAGTCTACCACCATGAAATTTCAGGAGCAACTGAAATTCGTGCTAGTTGGCGAGCAGACTAACGCGAGTAAATCCGCACAGATGTAAACACCCCATTATGAACCATCGGCTGGAGAAGTTCATACCACTTCCAGTAATCCTGCTTGTCGTCTTCCTTATCGAATATACGAGCATTGATCACATCCTCGCGATAGGACTCGGGCCGTAGCCCGCTCGATTTGTATTCATAGGCCGCTAGTTGGTGCCCGTTCACTTCCACAATATACCCAAGTAACCACCAAGCCCGTTAATCGCCCTTTTTGCTATATAAGGCTGCTATACGACTGATATAAAGTTCGGAAACCCTATATTTAATTTATATCGAAAAAAGGGCGATCATCGGGTAGTTAGCTTGTTGGTTACTTGGGTAGTTGTTCTGAAAAACTCAAACTCTCGCTCCAGTGTATCCACGGTATCCATGGCAAATTTAGTATCGTTGGTAGCATCCACGTACGACTTGACCATTCCGCACAGTAGAAGAGGCTGCGATCGCATGCTGTAGTAGATGCGACCACCATTCGGGATGAAACCGTATCACCAGACTATGGAAAGTAAATTTTCCAACATTCCACGGGTCGTCTTATTCATTTCCGAATGGAGCAGTCCCAGTACAATCCAGTATGAATCCCAGTAATAAAATTCTCTAAATCTACATCCGCAATCATTTTGTGGCCCAGCTCGTGCCAGATGCCGTTCAGCTTCTTGGCAAAGCCCCGCATGTTCTCCAGAAAACGCGGGTTCTCGACCCAGTCATCCGGGATCCAGTCCTCGAATTCGGCACCCGGCTTTTCGAACATCGACTCGACCCACTCCTGCAGTTCCTGCCTACTGGGCTGTTCCTTCTTCTGCTCCATGAAATCGTTGAACGTGGCCAACGTTTCATTGGGCGTCCTTCAAGTCGACGAAGATGCTCGCCATCTGTACCGTATCGAGCAGCTTTCCATGGCAGTAGATATCGCGTAGTGCTTGATCGCAGACCATTCTGTTCTGTCCTGAAGGCTGGGAATCGTTGTCTTTGTGAAGGTTATCCTCGCTAGCCGCTCTGCAGCCAAAATTTGAACAAAATTTCTCCGAAATAGAACGATTGGTTCTACAGGTATTCACCACAACTAATAGGTGTTGTGGAGTCATTATCATGCATTATGATTTGTTTTTTCATGTTGAAGCATGATTTGTTAAGAAAATAAATATCGCGATCAAACATGCATGCAAGGGCCGTGGGTGAAGACTGACGTTAATCACGGCGGATCGTGTTTGATTGTGTGGTTGGGTGGCTTTGATGCGGTAGTTATTAACTTGATTTTCCATGGAAATTCTAATAAAAGTCACAACATTGTTATTTTACAAATTCAATAACTGACATAGCAGCACTGCTCCGATCCCACCCTATAGCATGCATTTAGGCGCCCGGTCGATCATCGGATCTCAGCCAACCACCGCCGGATTGAGTGGATTTCCACCGGAAAAGCGCATGCGTCAAGCTGTCCGCGACTGTCTCGCTTGCCGTGGTGGACCCAGAACGGTGCGTACGAGATTTTCCCGTGTCAGTTTTTCGTAAGTCGTCTCTCTTTTCGGAGCTCTCGGAAAAGCCGCGTGTGTGTGGATCGGTGCGGAAAATCGTGCTGCTTAGAGGGACCAACCTTTTTCATCTGATTTTGGCTTAGCTGGTGGTTACTTAATTGGTATGATGGTGGTTTTTCCTCGGATGGAATTTGGTGGAATTTATGAAATGTGTGCGTTCGGTTTTGGAAACGAATAGTTTTGGAGGTTAATCCCGAAGATCCAGTACGTGTGGGCTATCCGTCAATGGCCATCCGTGGGTTGATTTTAATGGTGCGAATCCGTGGCACCGTGTGAAAAGTGAAAAGCGAGACAAAGTTGCACAGTTGGTAGCGAGAAACGAGAGAAAAATGGAAGATGAATTAGTGTGACCGAAAATTAGTTCTTTTTTGCGTTTTTCTCACATGAAAAGAAAATGGAAGAATAAGAAGAAGTAAAATAAGCAATAGTGGGTTAAAAATATTTTTCCTCTTTGAACCTCCCCCATATGTGAAGCAGTGGTGAGGGGGACAAAGAAGATGTGAAGAAAACGAGTGCTGAGTGAATGGGGGAAAATGGATCAAGAAAAGACGAAAAGAAGAGAACAAGTGTGTGAGTTCTGGTGAGATCCGCCTACTAGGATGGTCCCCTCTCATGTTCTTGGTATTGGTGAGAGTCCCGTTGAAGGAAACCACCCGCTAATCGCGCGCGGTGAAATACGTGTGAAAATCGCACAATTATACACTTTGTAATTTGATATGCACGTCGACAAGTCGCCTCATCGTCGTCGGTCGATGTCATCGCATTGGTTGTCTGCTGAACTGCATGCACACCAACGAACACACGTCCGCAACCCAGGATTACTACGCCAAGTTTCCGCCAACATCAGCGGTTACACACATTTTTCACGCAAATCAAAATCAGTGAGAATGTGAGAACGAAAAGCGTGCAAGTGGAAATTGTGCATGAAATTCCTCAAAATCTGGGAAAAATTTCTACTTGGACACCCACCCACCCATCATCGATCGCGTTGGCTGGGTGAACAAGAAAACAACGGCTCCTTGGATTAGAAGAGACTGAAGAAACGTCAAGAAAATACATCGCCTACTCTGCTCGTGAAGAATGCAATTTGTTCGCCTAATCCTCGCACAGTTCGATCGAATTTGTTTACATTTCTGTTTGCCCTCACCGTGCACTGTGTTCCGTGTGTGCGTGTGTGAGGATTATCGTGATTACCTCACTAGTTTATTTTTTCCGCTTATCCTATGTTTTTCTTCCCATTTGTGCAGCGAGATTTGTGATACAGAGAGTGAAGGAAACTTAGGGGAAAACGGTAAATGGAGTGAAACGTGCAAAAGCGCAACACTGTGTGTGAGAGAGAAAGGAGAGGATAACAAGAATATCAATGTGCAAATACGAGTGCGCTTGGTGAATGATTAGAAGGATTAGGGAGTGGAAAATCAGCAACACAGTCACGCGGAATTTAAGGTGCGTCGTAAAGTGGTTGCGAAGAAAATAGAATTTATTACTTTATAACGAATAGACAGAGTGAGCGCGTGAATGTTTAACATTGGGACTTCTTTTTTTTTCCTGTGTGTCATAATGAAAATGAATTGGTCTCGTTTCGCGGCATCTGAAGCAACATTATTGAATTAAATTAATTGCAGCTGTAAGGGTGAACAGCAACGATTAAATTTTATTTTGAGTTTGAAAATGCTGAAATTTTTCGTACAACCGTGTTAGGCTAGATGTTTCCTAGGAAGCTCTCAAATCTCACGAAAAATGAACTTTATTGCTGTTGTATTAATGTCATGTATCAAGCAAACGTTTTTTAGCTTAAGATTGTTTTTAGGTGATTTTTTCAACAAACATGTAGTCTTGATTGTAGATTGAAGGAAAGATACATAGATAATAAAAAGTGACCCCTGCGATTTAAAAAAAAAATGTGTGCCAGTTTTGGCACTACTGCTCCAGATTTTAGCCCTATGGCCGGAATCTATTTTGAAATCAAATTTTGTTAATTCATTTGCGAAGATATGTGGCTAAATATATGTTCTAACCATGTAACGAAATATTTGTTTAACAGAATGGAAACATGTTAAATCTAAGAAAGGGCTAATTAGAAGATCACTAGGGCCAACGCTACTTCGTAGTATGGAACCCGTTTCCACCAACTTCAATGTTCACGAGTTAAATCAAACAAAATGTTAAAAACGACAAAATGACACTAAAACCCGAACTGTCGACATAGATTCCGTTGTAACTAAATTCATACTTAATATTATAGGCTATAATTCGACCAAACAATTCGTTTGAATTCTACTTTTAACTAGAAAAGTTATTTGATTCATTTGGTGTTTTGGCAGAAGTTTTTTTGGGACAATAAATGCCTTCCTCCGGAAGTATTTTTTTTTGTGATTGATTCTCATACTACGTAGTGATTTAAACGCTCAAAAAAGTAATCGTTTTAGATTTAAGTGGGGCAAGTTACTTCGAAGTCAAAGTGCTATCTTCTGACGATTACTCTTTTTTGATTAATCCCTCTAGAAGTGAGATGAAAAATCAAATTTTACCAATTGTCAAAATAATGTAGAGTTGGGCAATGTAATCCAGATCCACTCAAAAGATCCAGATCAGTATGGAGAAGGAGAGTGAATGATCTACGGGTAATTTCTATTTAAAACCGGCTCAGCGGCTCGAAACACATAAACATGAACAAACGATAAAAATTCAATCCATCCAAGTTGATGATCGACGAAAGCCATGGATAATTAAAAGCTAGTTGCTTCAAAAGAGTTTTCAACATCGGAACCATCAAACTAATGATGCCTTCAAGATTTTGATAATGCAGCCCACAATTCCAGAAAAAGTGAATATGTGCTTCAAACGTTATGTTCTAACTGTGAAGCTGGAACATCTGGAGCCTTGAAAGAAACTGGAAGTCGTGAAAAGTCCCCATCAAAATCAAATGATTTGAAGCCCGGTGGAGGGGTCAACACGAAAAGGTATCAGAGGCTGTGTTATGACATTCTTGGGTCGCTTCCTAGGTGGGACTTTGAACACGAAATGACATCCCTTGCCAACCTCAGGTTCAGAGCCCTTGAGAGAAGGTCAAAGGGGTTGCTACTCGAAGTAATTCTGGAAGATGGAGCGACGTTTCTCAGGACTTTCACAAAGGAACGCCGAAAGCGAGCTTTCAAAGACTGTTCCATGCTGTTTGTACCTTGGAAAATCAGCGAGAGCATTCGGAATTTCCAAACACTAAGGACATTTTAGAGTGGCACGACAAGAACGCTCCCTATGCTTCTCTCCAACACTCCAACAGCGCCACTGAATGCATTTGAATGCACTCTTGTATTGGAATTATCGGGAGGTTAGAGTTCTTAAAGACACCAAACCCGCCTTTCAGGAAATCATCGCGAGTTATACTCTCAACGGTAACAATTCCCTCGATATTAACATCGCAACTTGGAATATACACTCGATACTCCATCGAAAAAGCTTATAGGCAACAATCTTGTTCGCCTACACACGGTTACCAACGGTAACGCGCAGTTTGCTTGGCCTCGAGAGTATGAGTGGAGCAGGGGGCCAAGGTGAATGAAGGGGGCAAGGGGGGTGGTTCGTTTTACTGCTCAACAAGCAATGTGTTGTGGTAGCGTTCCACATGGACTTTCTATGTGCACTCACACTATCATAGCATGCTGCCTATTTTAACTGCAGGCAGAAGATGCCTTCTATCGCTAGGTGCGCTAGTGTTCGCAAATGACAAGTGGAGCCACTTTCTGATCCGAAGTTCCACTCGTGTGATCAGTTTTATGGATTGGTTGCTTTTATGGATGTTCCGGATCTTCCGGAAAACCGTTTTCGTGGCCATCCGGATTTATTTTTCTGCGAAGACCCCACATGTATTCTTACATCACAGGTCAAAGTGTTTTCGAAAAACAGTATAGCTTTAAGATTAGTTTCATGAATTAACCACTCTTGTGGATGTTTTGAGTTAGTAATGTAGTAGTCAAATTGGCTAAAAGTCACAATAAAAAAAAGTTGTTCCAGATCTTTTGAAAGACTGTTTTCGTGGCCGTCGGAGTTTATGTTTATGTCACGACCCCAAATTCATTCCTATATCACAGTACCAAGTGTTTAAATGAACAATCCGTGGACCTCTAGGATCAGTTTCATGGATTGGCCACTTTTACGGATGTTCCTGATCTTCCGAAGGACCATTTCCATGACCATTGGGGTCCATGATGATATCAAAATCCAAAATTTATTCATATTTCAAAAGTGTTTTCGAAAAAATCGTGGAGCTCTAGGATCACTTTAACGAATGATCCGGATCTTCCGTATGACGTTTCCGTGGCCATCCATGTTTGTGCGAAGACCCCAAATGTATTCTTACATCACAGATGCTTTAGGATCAGTTCCATCAGTCGCCCAACACACAATTTGAGTTGATTAAATGCTGAATAAGCCATTTTTGAGTTGAAAAAGCATATTTTGTCTGTATAAGCTCTTATAGAGCATTGAATGTTGGAGACTACTTTTAAGGATGTTCCAGATCAAAGATAGTACTGAAAGACTGGTTCCGTAGCCATTGGGGTCTAGGTTTTTGTCACAACTCCAAATGTATTCTTATATCATTCCATATGTTTTCGAAAAAAAAAAACGGAGCTCTAGGTTTAGTTTCGTGAATTGACCACTTTTATGCAAGAAAATTGAAGCACCCCTCGAATCGTAAAAAAAATCCACGAACCGCTCATTAAACTCTGTCAAATTTATTAGGCGAATCAAAACAAATACAAACTTTTACAGATTCTAGTACGATAATGGGCTCCCAACTAACAATTTTCACAATGTAAACGCTTTACTCATTTCATTTATACAGTCTCAAGCTGTATTCAAACGCTATAAGATATGAGGAAACCTTTACTCAACCTCTATACAAGCAAATTTGGCGAACTTAGTCAGCTACTTATGGCTGTTGGAACAGTCGGGAGAAGCTCTTATTGCATATCCATTAACGCTTCTATACAGCTGTTATCCTGCTGTTTAGTTGTGTGTGAACTTGAAAGGCGCTTATTCAACCTTTTCCCGGTTGTCCAATAATCACTACACAGCTTTCTCTTGAAGCCGGGTTAAA